TTTCTTAGCTATGTTCAACAACTTAAAAGAGAGTTTTAAAAATCAAGCGGCCATCCTCACCCCTCCCAAATAAATTCTCTCAAACATGCTTTAGTATAAACACGTAAAAGATAGCTAGGACTGGATATTTCTTTTTTATTTCTATGTCAAATGTGAGATTAAAATTTCAAATTTGAAATTAGTAAAGATGCGCTTAGAATGTTAAGACGATTAATCAAGTTACAGTATACTTGGTAAAAAAAATTATCTATTAAATATAATCATTTTGTTGGATACCTCTTTTTTTTTCAATACACTAATTTCATAGGTTAAAAAGAAAAATAAAAAATAAATAGAAAGAAAATTATTTTTTATTAAAATTATAAATATTATTTAATGTTCAGTTATTAATTAATTAATTAAAAAAAACATAGTTAAAGACCTTTGACATATACACCATGATGAAAGGAAAGTGCATAAGATAAAAGAAATTCAATTTTCTTTCTCTTGACGTGAACACTTTAAATTTTTAGAAAATAAGTGAAGTTGCAACAATACTATATTTTATACATTACGGTACTTAATAATGTTGTTGTATTATTCTACAATGTTATCTTACTATTTATCATAATATTTTATTTAAATATCAAATAAAATGTCTTATATATATATATATATATATATATATATATCATTCTATTTGGAAAGAAAAAGATTAATAAAAAAGATTAAAATAAAATTAAAAATTGGAAAATGCTAACTAAGACACTGATTAAAAAATTAAAATACATTTTTTTTTTATCAAAACGTATTATAAAGTACCTCCTTTCTTAATTTTTAATTCAATTGAATACAATTTTTAATAAAAACATATTTTAAATTATTTAATATTATTCTAATTGCACTCTTAAAATTATATTTAAAGATTTATTAAAGTAGAAAAAATAAAAAAAGAGTAGAAGCATACAAATTCATTAATTTTCTCTTCAAACTTTGATTTTGTTCCAAGTGCTATAGTTTTCGCTTCAAACTTGAATGCCCAGTTGGCTGACAAGAAGGCCTGCTGCTCATTTTCCGAAAACACGAAGGGCCAATATGATTGTGAATTGGGTACTGAGGATCAATTAATGGTAGCAGATCGCAGAAAGCTTGTACCATATAAACTACAAAAAATTCGTACGTAAGGTTTTGTCACACTCCTCGTGGAAATTAAACTTCTTGGAAAATGAGGGTCTCAACGTTAGGTCATTATCTCACTAATTACTAGAAAAAGTTTTGATTATTATTGTCTTAAAGTTTGCATCCCGGATTGGTTTCCCCCATGCCCGTAATCAAGACAACCAAAAACCTGCAGTGTTTCTGTTTATCTGTCTGAAGGGGGAAATCATCAATTATTTTGGCAATTGCATGGTAAGTGTTTACTATTTTTTATTAAAAAATATTATCAATAGATATTTTTGTAATTTTTAATATAAATTATTTTAAACTACCTATTGACTAGATCCAAACTATATCCATTAATTTTGATTAAGCTTACCCTGGCTCCATAATTTGAACCAGATTGGATAGTTTTGGATTTGTACGAGGAATATAAAAATGGAGTTATAACCCGAAGTGAAAATGAGATTAAGAAAAGGTCTTTAAAGTAAATCGATATAATCAATACAGATGTACATATATTTATATCGAAATGTACTCGTTACTTCATTTCGATAATATATGCTAATTTTTAAGGTGAAAATTATTGAAGTAGAGTAAATAAACGAGTTTAAATGAGTATATTTACGTAATTAGTCTCTCTTTCTCTTTTATAATATAACAATACTATCTTTTCTTAAAAGAAAATGTGATATTTTTTTCTTATTATTTTCAATGGTAACTGTAGTTTAATTAAATGAGTAAATTAATTAAAGTTTGGGACACATGCTATACCAGAAGTGAAAATTATGCTTCTTCGGAGCGAAATTGATGATCAAACAATTATGGAATGTTTAATTTTTAATTGAAAATTTATGAAATATGGTCTGCATCATGTATATGTTTCTGTGTTTGTATATGGTCATCGATAACCATAAGCAGTAATAGGTCTACCACAATTAATTTAACATATCACTAAATTATGATTAAAAAAATATAGACGTTTAAATAATAAAACCAAATATATAATACCTGGATAACTGTGAAATGGAACTTAAAAAAAGAGTGTGCGGGTTTAGAAGCTTCGTTGCAAGACAACAATCATATTTAATTGAAGGTGAGAAACCTGTGGATAACAAGTTCTCTTGAACTTGGAGTAAAATGTGTCTTTTGTTATAACATAGCAATTCCGTGGAGGCATATGGGACACAAGTTGTGGAGGCAGCACTAACAAGCTACAATTTGACTCTCTAACAATGGCCCCTACAATCCACATTTTCTAAGTCAAAGGCTTTGATTTTCTTTGTCTCAGTTCAGTGATTGAAGACGAGAAACATCTCTAGGATATTCTTATACCATAATTTCATCGAGGTATATAAAAACCTCCACTTTATTTATTTATTTTTTACTCTTTGATATTTCTTTGAATACCAACAGCATATGGAATCCTTTATCAGGTCACGGCGAGTTAATTAATGTCAGAAGTTATTGTTTGGCTGCTTTATTCTAAATCAATTTCATTTAAATAAAAACTTTGTTTATGTATACCTTTAAAAGATATATGCCGAGCAACTAAAAGAAATAACCATTGATATAAATGTAAATATTTTAAAAATTTTCAAATAACTATTTAATATTCGTTAAATAATTAAGGTGAAAAATAAATATTATTTTTAATTCTCAATAGGTTAGCTGAGCTCATATGTTAACTATATACCCTATGACTAAAACTCAATAAAAAAATCCTTGTTTTTCTAATGGTGTTGCTCTGATTTCAGAAAAAGAAACTATTGGCAGCACATCATGGGGAAATAACTTGAACCAATATCACTGAAGCCCAGAAATGGTCTTTACTGTTTGTTTTCCCTTTTCTCTTATCTAGGCCACGTGAGTGGAAAAATATCTGGGTTCAGATATACACTCGTATTTAATATAACAATTCATTTTTGCATTTATTTACTTTTTAAAATTAATCTTTCAAAATAATCAAAACTAAACATGCTTTAGGAATGATGGGATTTGGGAAAAAATCAATTTATTGTTACTATCAATTCCTTAGGGACCATACAGTGAATGGATTATTAGTAGTGACATTCTCCTCACCCTCAACACTATGATGACTCTTGTTTTTTCGAACAACCTCTAGTCTGCTTGAAAGTGAGTGACAAAGAAATAATATCTTTTGCGGTATTAGATGGTATACGGTGATAATTGTCCTACCAATTGCTATCAGAAAATAAAAATTCCATAAAAAATGTTTAAAAATTGTGACAACATGAAATTTTCAAATACGTAGGTTCAATTTCAATCTGAACTATCTTTTTGGCAATTACGCAGCTGAATTGCAGTTTTTTGTACTCTTCCTGAATATTGCAGGCAGCTGCTACACAATAGATTCTTGTAACCAAGATGTATTCTAAGTTTGACACACACAAGTGTCATATGAAGACAATGAATTTCAACACAAGCATATAATATATGGATATACATATGTATGTATTAATAATTTGATATGCACATGCAGTATCAAGACCATGATAATGCTGGTTCTTGCAGGTGTACAGAATATGAGTTCAGCAGGACCACGCCAAAATTCTGCGCTGGATTTGTACCCATCATTTGATAATGACTGCATAATTCAAAACCAACGGCTTTGATCTCACTCACCATGTCACTTTTGATGAACCCATGTGTACCGTATAGAATGGTGCTTATCCCACAAATGGATCAGCTACCCGTGTATGTGTATATATATATTACAGCGTACATGTGTTACAGAATTTGTCTATTTTGTCTCATGATAAATAATTTAATCAAAAGTAGAAATATTAAAAACTTATATTAATTTCTATAAAAAAGTCATTAATTCACCTTAAATATAATGTTATTTAGCCCGTATAATATAACTTACACAAACCCGTTGCAGCTTTGTATTAATAATTTTTCTTGAGTTGTAGAGAGAACACAAAATGTCGCTAACCACACAAAAACTCGTCGCATACGTAGTGCACCATTAAATTTGTCTTCGGTACGAAATCATATCAAGGTCACATGAAGCTCAAATGGTTCACAAGAATCGCGTTTTCTTTATATCAACTTTGTCCACTTAACTTCAACTTTTCTTTTTTTTTTTTCTTTTCTCAATCTATAATCATTTGCAAGAAGGTCCCAACAAGTTACCACATGGAACTCTCTTATGTCATAAATGAGAGGATGCCGTTGAAGCAAAAGCACTACCTAACGAGCTGACCTCATTTTTCTTCTACTATAATCATATGTTGTACATTTATTAATTACTCTAAACTCCCTCGTGTTTCCTGATAAAAACTATGTTCAGATTGAGAAATAGAGTGAGACTGTCCATCGTAGTGAAAGCAACAGATGATTTACTATCATTTAGGCATTTAGCCGCATAAATATTATCTACGGATATATATATGGATTTGATAAGCGATGTATAATTAATGAGTTTACCCAATTGGAATCACACTCTAATTAAAACAAAAGTAGGAATTTCCAACCCGTCTCTTACTATGTTGATAAGGAAATAGAGAAAGTGACAATCTAATTCTAAGCGCTAATTAGTTTGAACTTTAATGCTTTTTAACTTATGTTTTTATAAAATAATTTTTACAAAACTATTGCTTTTTATTTTTAATTTAATATTACAAATAATATAAATTATTCTCTCCAATTAAATGCATGTTTAAATTGTTTATTTTTTAAAAAAATATTAAAAATAAGAGAGTATTGTTTAAATATTTTTATATTATCAACTAATTAAAATTATTATGAATATATTTTTAAAATAATTATTACAAAAGTCAACTGCTCTTAATAAGACGTTAGCTCATATTTAAACAGCAGTTAATGTATTTCACTTAATTTATTTTTTTTTAAATTGGGCCAAACACAGCCTAAACATGTCATTATCAATGTTTTTATCTCTCCCACACGCTTGCTTTCCTCACTCGTGTGACACCACCACACAGTCGAACACAACGGCACACAGAATGTGGAGAGAAGGAGAACAACCGAGAGATAATGGAATTCAATTCACTTTTCATAAAATATAAAAATGTAATGTTATACTTTCACCTAAGGATTTTGATTTACATACTAATTCACTAAACATTAATAATTTAGGCTTTTGAAGATGAAGACGAAGCCTTATCTTTAGGTGTAACATCTTCCTTAATTTGTGCTAACAACAAAGAAGAACAAAGACCCTCCTCAACAATCTCGTCTTCACCTTCTAAACACGAAACACAACGAGTGCAACAAGAAGAAGACAGAGAAGAACTGCAACCCGATAAAGGAGAATGGGAACATGAACACGATGATGAAGAAGCAGAAGTATCAACTGCAAGACCGGTTAATAAATCAACAAAAGCACGAACAATATACCCATGATTGCTTTTCCCATTCACCTTCAAATACCAACACAAAAGCTCTTCGAGACTCTCCCAATCTTTGACACCGTGAGTCTCCACCATCTCCTCCATAGAACTTTTGAAATCTACGTAAGGGTTTTTTGATTCCATGGACATGAGCACGCTGTCTTTGAATGGAACGTAGAATGTTCCAGAAGCTAATTTGGAATCTAACAAGGAACTGGTCTCATCTGGCTCGAAGAAAAGCCGATCCGAACGCAACCCACGAATCACTGTCTCGATTGGTTCCCATTCTTCAGAAGCTGTTGAGAAGCTTGCAGAGTTTGGAGACTCGGTGAAGAACGATTCGGGGCTTTCTTCCACCAACGCTGCTGAGTTAATGGCTTTGAAAACGACGTCGTTTTTGTTGTTGTTGTTGTTGATGATGATGTTTTCTCGGAAAGAAAGGGTTTTGGCTTGGTGACAGGATGGCCAAGCCCATGATGCAGAAGAGGATCGTCTTGCATCATTGTTCTTCAGAAGAGAAAGAAATTTCATTTTTTAAAAAAAAATAAGAAAGAAAGAGGGTATAAAAAAAAAATGGGTTCAAATGAGTTTTGAAGGTTTAGATGTGAGAGTTTTGGTCCATAGGGAAGCATTAATGGAAGACAAGAATGGGTTGTGGGGGGAAGATTTTAAAGATGAAGTGGGACAAGTTGGAGAAGCTTGAGTTTGCTTCTCTTGGGGTTGGTTGGTGGGGTCAATTCAATGTAATCCTCCTATTAAATTTTTTCAGGCTTTAGAAATAAATGTAATTCAATCCAATTTATTATGCTTATTTTTTATTTATTTTATTTTTTTTATCAATAGTGATAGTTGAATGCCTTGGGGCGCTAAATATAATAAAATAGTAAAAAATTAATGAGAAGTAAAACTGCTACAGTAATAAAGAGAATAATTCGTGTAATATTTAATAGTAGTTCTCTTCTAATTTGAAAATTGCTATTAAATGTGTTTTAGTATAATAATAATTAATTATACGATAAGCTGATGTTTAATAATATAATAATACTAATAAAATAATGATAAAATATTAACAATAAATTAAATTTGAATGAAAAACAAAAAAAATTATTGAGTTAAACTTTGATCCAGAAATTATTATATAAACAGTAAAAATTTTAAGTAATTTCTTAATATTTTTATATTATTATTTAATTTAAATAATAATTCATGAATATAAGTTAATATTTAAAATTAATATTACTTATTAAAATAAAACCTTGATTTTAATTAAAAATAAACAAAAAACAATATACCTAAATTTGGTTCATATAAATATGCCAAAAGAAATGGTAGAAGTAGCGACCGTCAAGCGGGTCAGTACGGTAGACTTTTATTCTTAGAAAGGGTAAGGTAGTAACTGGCTACTTTGTTTTTAATTTAATTTTTATTATTATTATTTATTTATATATAGGTTTCAGTAATAGTTATAATATAATATTGTATTATTTTATTTTTATTTTTTTGTATTAAAGTTTTAAGAAGGGAAACTCAAACAAGTTTTTGCTGCTATTATAATTTATTTCACAAAACTTTAAAACTGAAAAATAAAATGAGAATAAGATTATTTTTTAATCATTCATAAAATTAATCATAATAAATTTTACTTCTAATAATTAATCATAACAAGATTATATATAACATGTTAAATATTAAATTTAAATATTTATATTATTAATAATTTTTTATAAAATATAATTAATGAATTCATTTAATCATCTTATATTATCTTCATAATTATATTTATCAAATTTTCACAATTTAAATATTTACAGATCTATTATTCAAAATTTGATATTTATTTATATTTTAAAAGTATTAAATGTTAAAATAAAATAATATAAAAATATTTTTATATAAAATCTTCGAAAATTAATTTATTCTGTAAAAAATTTCTAATTAATAATTCAATTAATTAACATCATATTTTATTAAAAAATAGTAAATAATATTAATGTTTAAATTTAATAATAAATATCAACAAATTTTTCTCCCTCTCTTTATATGCACGATAAGTTTATAATATTGCAACCATATGCAATTTGAGTGTATGACTTGGTTTTTACCTTCCCAATTTTCAAAGAGATAAAGCTCATCCTTAAAATCACCCTACATTTAAAGCAGCTAGTTTTTTGTATTATATTCAAAAATTGAGTGCACATATTATTATTTCGAAGGTCTTTTGAAGATTTTTTATAAGAGATAATCGTGTTTAAAGTATGTGGCTTAACATTAAATTTGAACATCTCTCTCAATAAATATGCGAACCGTGTTTTACTACTTGTTGAAATTAATTAAACTATCTTATTAAACCCTGCGTCATTTACTAATTGAATTCAAATACTTAATTCAACTAATTAGTTGCTTACCTTCTATAAAAAGAAATGGGTTTTTTTTGAAGTGTTATCAATTATCTTTTTGCCTAAATCGGGTGCAAGAAGGTGAAGGCTTGTATATATTAACACTACATGGATGATTTGAAGTTTGCAGGTTGGTCATATTAAGTTACTTTTTAGAGCATCTGAATGTCCCATTGCACTGAATGGCTTAGAGGTTTCAAATTGATTTGGCAAAGATGAGGTCAATTTTCGACGTTAAGGGAACATTATCACTTAGCAACACTGTTGAGGTTAATTTTGGAGGGAAAGTGAACCAATTCAAAAGTACCCTAAAATGCATATATTTGTGACTCAAAGAGCTATGTGCTGGGGATGCGTTGCTCAGCCAAGTGTAACCTAACTAAGATACAACTCTTCACTTCACGTGCCCTTGAGAGCACCGAATTAGAAATCAAGTTACGCAGCTGCTACCATCTTATCCCCTTCTTTAATTCTTCTTTATCTTGTTCCTACAACATTATTTTACATTTGAGCCCTGAGCCAACTCTTGCATGTTTACAGCAACAATAAAATGTATTTAAATAGGTAACTTAATTACATATTTACTGAATAAGCTCTTTTTTAATGATAATTTATGAACATTTAAACTATTTTTATATATTTTTCATAAGTTATTTAAAACATATTCTAATAGTAAGCTGATTAATAAACATTTGAATTCAATCTCACGAATTAATTAATAATTAACGATGTTCTTTATTATAATGGTGATCACATCATTAATTAATATTCACTTTCAGATTCCATCGGTGTCTCCTCCGTCTCTCAATTTAAGTAATGAATGATGTCATTAGTACTTAAAATAATGAGTTTAACTGGCTAATTACCATTTGTGGGACATACTTTCGATCGAATAATGAAGCTGACTGAGCCAGTTTAAACTTAAGATCAAGTTTAGAAAAGTGAGATTTTTCTCTCTTTTTTTAATTAATTAAAAAGAATAAGACAGTTGGTGATTTAAATATGTTAAAAAATGAGAATAAGCGTGATAAAAGTCACTTTTTTCCTGTATCTTGAGACTCAAATCATTAGACTTGGACATTAAATCAGATTTGGGCCCAAAATAGTCAACCCAATAAAACTGAATGCACTATCTTGATTGCTAATTTGCTAGTATGACTTGTTACGGGTTGAGCTTTCCCAATCCTTTGAATTCGTCACACGATGTTTAAAGAATGATATCAATTTATTTCCAAATTTAGAAAAAAAACTTATAAACTATCATCTTTTGAAATAGAAGTATAAGTATTATTAATTAACGTTTTTAAAGAAGTTATTAAAAATTAAAAATACTAAAACTCACGTTAATAAAAAATAAAAATATATTAGAACTTAACTTAAAAAACTAAAGATGAGTGAGACAAATTGATAATTATAAAGTTGCTTATTTTGTATCTAAAATTTATTTTTATCTTGTCCATACATTTTAATTATTTAATATAAAATTTAATATTCGCTCAATTATTTATTTATTTTTAACTGAAAATTTCAAATCGGGCCTTTAGTTTTCACTTTTAAACATATCATATTCTAATTTCGTGTGTGGTGTGACTCTGGTTTTGAGCAGAGTGGAGCAACCATTCCTCATCACTTATTTTAAATCAAATAAACTCATTTGAAACCATATTATTGACCCATTTTAATTGAAATCAAACACAAACCAGTTCGATTTATTGTTTTTCCTCTGGTTTGAGCATTTTTTGGTCGAGTTCACGAGTTCTACTCACCGCTGTAAAGCATGATTATGATAATAAAACCACAAAATTTAGTTGCAGTTTAATAGGTATTTTTAATGTTATTTTTTTAAGTTAAAATTAAAGTTTTATTTTAATAATTAGTAATAACATTAAATATTTTTTAAATAAATTAAAATTTTAATTAATAAATAACATAAAAAATACATAAAGTATAGCATGTAAATTTTATCCTAAGTCTTAACCACCCTTAACTTAACTAAATTACTTCTAACAAGAGACAAAGTATAATTGATTATTTTTTAAGCTTCATATAAAAAAATAACATGGTAAATAATATATTTATTTTTTTCACACGAGTATATAAGTTTTTTTTTTTTTATCTTTGTTACAAATTTTAAATTCTTTAAAAATTTTTTGATCAAGTATATCTATCAATTATAAACTATACTTATAAGCACTTATTATTAATGTTCCTTGAATATTAAGGAATGAAATTGATAGGAATATTTGAATTGAAAATAATAAAAACTAGCATGAATTAATAAGAGAATAAAAGTGAATAAATCAAATAGTACCATGATATGAAATTAAATTTGGACTTTGATTTACTCCAATGACTACCTAAATATATTCTAATTCATATTTAAATTATTATGTTATTATAATTATTCATCATCTAATCAATTATTATTTTACTCAATAATAATGTAATAATGACAATCTTTTAATTTAAGTGTTATCTTAATAATCATATATAATAACAATTAAATAAGAACATTAAAGTTTGTTAAATTCAATTAATTAATTAAAAAATATATGTAATTGAGTGATATTCTTAATTTCTAAACTCAAATTCCCCTTCAGTTCTTTTAACATATTAATAATATGATTGTTTATCAATTGATTAACTAAAATTTATTATCGAGTGGCCAAATAAAAATAATAATAACAACAAAAGGCAATTATAATAAATAATTAGCATCTTTAGCATACAATTAAACTGAAGTTCAAAAAAGTTACAGTTTTATATTAAATTATGTAATATTCAAAAAATTAGAGAACACACAAAGTTTTTTTTTCTCTCTCCTTATGTATGATGTTTTCATTGTCGAAATGAGAGCTTCTATTTTGAATATGAATTGCCCAATTTATAGCTTTTGGTCAAATGATTTTGGTACTCATTTTCATACATTTGTGTTAAGTATGTTCAAAATCATAAAATAATAGCATTATATTGTTACCTTGTTTATTAGTTGTCTACCCATTCTACCTCTGCATCTTCCTTGTGTAGCTTTGCTTTGAAAGCCACTGCTTCAACAACCATGTCTAACTCTAGTCTCATTTTATGTAACCTTCAACACTTGCTCTGCAAGTGCACTATGCTTATTCATTTGCTACTCTTATACTAATAAGGTGCTCTTGAGTTCATATATAGTCATAGAATCTCAATCATGAAATTATTTAATAGAACACACTACATAATCTTATTTTATATGCAATTCTTAGAGTGCAGAAAAATTTAAAGTTGTGCTTGCTTTATTTTTATCGCAACCGAGCGGTCGTAACAGTATAACGAAAAATATTTTTAAAAATATTAGAGGAGTCGC